GAGATGGCTCAATGATTAACAACACTGGCTGCTCTTTCAGAGGACCTGAGTTCAGTTCCCAGCACGCATTATGACAGCCGACAACCTCCAGGGTATCTGATGCTCTCTTCTGGCTCCTTAGGTACCTGCATGCACACAGCACACACACACACACACACACACACACACACACACACACACACACGCACGCACGCACGCACGCAAATAAAATAAAAATAAATCTTAGGGGCTGGAGAGATGGCTCAGCAGTTCAGAGCATTGGCTGCGCATGCAGAGGACCTGGGTTTGATCTCCACAGGGTGGCTTAAAACCATCTCCAGCTACAATTCCAGAGGTCCCTATGCTCCCTTCTGGCCTCCGAAGGCACCAGGCACCTGACCTGGCATGTATGTGGTACACAGACCTACATGCAGGCAAAACACCTATGCACAAAGAAAGCTGAAAACACAAATCTTTCAAAGGGATGCTCTATGCAGAAACTAAGGTTCCCCAAACGTCATTCACTACACAGGCTCCCCCAAGCTCAGGCACCGAGACATAACAAATGCTGTCAGCGCCCAGATCTACAGCCAGTGCTACACCCTCCATGTGGGCTTGTCCACAGCTCTGGGGCCAGGTTCTCATGATAACCACACCCAGCAGGGCGTTGTCGGGGCCCAGCAGGGAGAATGCTGCCTGACTGGTGCTGGGGTTGTCAGGCCATCACCTGTGCCAACTTGGGCCACTTGCTTACAGGCAGGCTGGCACATGCCAAGGGGAGGACCCACAGCCTTCCACAATCAATCGCGGTCCTAAACTAGGCACACCCCACACTTCCTGCAGCAACCTGCTAAACTTAGTCACACGAGTGTACACCGAGACGTGGCCCTGGGCTCTTGGAGATGCATTTTCTGATGGCGTGAAAACAAAAGTTGTGTACCTGTCACTTCTGTTTGTCTGTGCTAGGGATGGAATCCAGAGCTTTCTGTGGGTTAGGAAAGCGCTCAAAGCCTAAGCCACGCCCCCTGCCCCTCCCTGGGGCATTCTAGGCAGGGGCTCTACCACTGAGCCACACCCCCAGCCCCTCACTGGGGGATTCTAGGCAGGGGCTCTACCACTGA